AATATAGAAAACCTCAAAAGATGTGATGACTCCTTGTCTTTCAACTCCCCGGCAACAGTGCCAAAAACTAGCTTCAACTTTAATATTGTAAATCCAAGCGCAGGTTGAGCGAAGTAATATAATTCTCAGAATATCGAGGTCGAACCTTCAAGGAATTGTAACAAGAAAGCAATCACACAAATATTTAAACAAACTTAAAAATAAATGATTTGTTTAGGGAATTGTTGAACAAAGAAAGTTGGTTTAAATAATTAAAACAGTAATAAAAATACTAGAGCATCAGGTACTCCCTCTCAATTTCATTCAATAATAATTAAAAACTCAAATCTTAACTTGAGACAAGAATAAGATGTCGGTTGATTCGAATAACAAATTAAATAAGAAAACCAAAAGTTATAATCAAAAGATTATTCAGAAACCTGAATAATCATCCAATTATATTATTTTATGAAATAATGATAATTACCTCAAGTATGGAATAACCAGGTATTTACTCGCAGGGAAATTCAAGCAATCGATGTACATGACACAACGACTCAAAGATTTTTACAGAGCAGAAATTTTGCTATAAGATCAGAAGTAAAATTAACAAAATATCATAAATCATTAAACTCAGAATCAATAACATTACCGTATTTCATTGAGAGGTTCTTCCCTAGCTCTAACCTAGCCTTTTAGCCAGACATGACGAATTAATATCAAAATAAAAAGATGGAAAAAAAAATATTATAATCCTAAACGAGAACCTCTATTTATAATAAAAATAAATCATAAGTACAGGTTGAAAATATAAGGTTGGTTTGGAAGGAATTCCTTTCCAAAAAAAAGTCTTGTAAGGTTAAATCCTGTGCATAAATCTTTGGGGCGCGGGTACAAAATCTGTCCAGATTTCGAGTGTCAATTTCGCATATTTAGAGGCTGCATTACAAAAATGTCATGAAATACACTTTTGTAGCCCTTGAAGTCTTTTTTTTAACCTCCAAAAATCAAGTAAATCAGATATCAGAGTCAAAAGTTATGACCAAAATACTGAAAAATGTGTCAAATCCTTATCTTTTATGATACTTTCTTAATCTAACTCTAAATGAGTTTTCTTTCAACTTGAACTTTTATAAAGATTCAATTGCTATCATATCTTCAACTCTTCCTATCTCAATCTTGACTCTTCAACCCTTATTAATGACGATTCTCTCTAGTGATTGATTCACTTTCATTATCCATTATTACTTTAAATCAATCAATTTACCTTCAAAATAAACCAAATAGTTAGAAAAAGTATCAAACTAAAAAATTAAGGAATTTAAAATATTTAATTATAAATAATGTATAATTAATTAATTATTAAATATAATAAAATAATAATTTTGATGGTTAATCGCTCCTTTTCCTCTGCCTATTTGCTTTGGTTAAAGCAGAAGAAGAAACCTTTTGACTTATATTCAATAGGGGTTTTCGGGGTCTCCCTGAGTCATCCCGTACTGGTATTAAGGAGCTTGTGCCCGGAGATTCTGGTGGCAAGACAGCATTCTCAGACATGTAAATCCGCTGGGGGATAACAGGTTCTGGTGGCGAAATCTTGGAAAGATAATGCAGCAGCATTTGTATTATTTGGCTGAAGTTAGGCCTAGTATTTGGGTCCTCCTTCCAACATGAAGTTACAATTAAAGCCAAATCCTCCGTTAGATCATCAGCGCTGGGTCTCACATTCTGAAAAACAAAGTTACAAACCTCGAATCATGGTTGACCAACGATTAGGAACCCAAAATAATTGAGTGAAATTTGTCTGGTAATGTCAAATTTCAACAAAAGAAGGCAGCAAGGGGCCCTCTAAACATCAGACATTGACCATGCACAAGCACTTGAGTCTGCCGTGAATAGCAAAATCCGTAAGTTTCACTGTTTTATGGTCTGCCGTCAATAGTAAATATTCTGCAAAATGAAAGAAGTTAAAGGTAACTGGAATGTACTGTAATAGACTTACAGACTTATAGTTGCCAAGCGGAGACAGAGAAATTCACCCACCACTGCAACTGTTGCAGTAGAGGCGTGGCTCTAGCCTAGCGAAAAGGGTAGCAGTATGATTGTCAATTCATTATCAGCATAAAATATCAATGAGTTTATTTTAACCCAAACAATATAAAATTAAATACAGCCATAATAACATTCTACACAAAGCTATTCTATCAGGGAAAAAAACCTATAGAAAGTGCTGCTGGCCATCTTATAGTGTCCAATCTCTGATTGTAAAAAGTTCCAAGCCTACTATTCGTTCAAGCAATAAATGGTCTCCCTTAGAGCCATATATTTGTCTCAGGTTCAGGTTCAGGTTCAACCTCCACAAGCAAATCCTCATAAAGCAGGCAGAAGTCAAAAGAGTCTGAGAATCCTATTTCCTCTCCTCCTACCTTCTGAATCTTCCTCTTCCACAGACCTGAGAACCCAAATGACAACTTAAGGGTTTTTGTGCACAAGCACTTGGGTAGGCGAAGACAAGAGTTTGCACAGACAAGGATTTTACAATACAACCCTTCTTGTTATCATGTGCTTCGCATGTGATAACAAAACCAAACGGACAACAAATGAAAAATGACGATTGATTGCATTGCAAGTTTTTAATGTCTTTTAAAGAGTAATATGCAAAAATTAATCATTCGAGGGGATAAAGCAAAAAAATTTGTATCATTTAGGGGACAAATTGGAATTTTTCTGATATTTTAATCGATAGACAGTTTTCAGATGATTGTTTGAAATATGTTCAAATGTCTTATTTTCAGAATTTCTTAAATGAAAAAAATAATGGATAAACACAATGCAAATGCGAAATGAAATAACAGAGAACTAATAAAAGAAAATTCCTTTATTAATTCAATCGAAGAAATTTTTGTTATAAAAAGATTGAGTAAAATAGTCTTTGATTACAACACTAACTACTTAAATTTAATCTAAAACTATTCATAATAATGTACAAATCGTGGGTCTTTTTGGATTTTGAGTGTGTATCTTATTCTCCACTAAGTGTCCCTCTTTATAGCCATTATCCATTACGGTTTTGCCCCTATCAATAATTAGTAACGAATAACTTCGAGTTCATTACTTTTTATTTTTCAAATATGACTGTGACGGGTTATTTTGCCACGTGACACCTTCTCAATACATCTAAGATGTCATGTGCCAATACACCGAATATTTTCAAGATTTTATATTTTGGATTCAAACAAATATAAAATGATAAAAAAATTCACTCGCAATAAAATTTTAATGAATGAAAAATAGAAATATAATACTGAAAAATTATTTGTTAATATTATAACCGGACCCATAATTATTTTATTTGATTATAGCAGTTTATGGAAGGGTTTCAAGGAAGATGCTAATCTGATAATTAAGTTGAGGGTACTGCCGGCGTAAGACCGCGTAAGAAAAGGATATATATGATAAGATGGTGGACTTATTATTTTATGTTCCAGTACACACCCCAGTACAAATTTAAGTACCAACAAGTCCTTCCTACGTAGCTTCCTAGCACTTTAGGAAACTGTGTTCTTGCTGGGCGGTTCTATAGAGAGACAGAGAGAGAGAGAAATGAAAAGGTTCTTGTCCAAAGTCCTAAACCTAACATGATCATAGGCCGTCAATGTCCAAATATCTTACTTGCGTGAGAGTACGTTTCTCAAATAAATCGGATTCTGATTTGATTTCGTTTGATCGGATACAAATTAATATTTTTTATTTATAATTCAAATTTAAATTATAATTAAAAATTTCGTAGATTCGAATTTGAATATATTTATATATTATTCTCTTCTTCTTAAAAAAAAAGGATATATCTATATTTGATCCAAATTATTTATATATTACTAATTAATGTCCCGTTTGATAGTAAAGATTAAAAATAGGAGGAATATATTTTCTATCCTTCAAGTATGAAAAGTAGAAATGATACATTTTTCTTTATTTGTGTTTGATTGGATTGATGAAAAATAAAAATGATTAATTTATTTTTTTTGTGCTGGTTAAGATTAGGAGTGATAATCGAATCGTGTCGTGTCAAATTCTTGTCGAGTCATAAAATTATAAGCGTTTTATATTTCTTGTTCGCGTATCAGGTCATTTTCATATTCGTGTCAAGTTAAAATCAAGTTCGTGTCATAAAATTCGTGTCGAGTTTAAGTCGTGTCATCGTGTTGATTCGAAAATTTTCACCCTTAGTTAAAATGAAAAAAATATTTTTTTAATTTAAATTTTTTTATTTTTTATTTAAAAAAAAATTATAAATACATATTTTATCATTGTATTTTTATATGAAATTAATGTATACATAATACATAAACAAATAAGATACATCTCAACACAAATAATTAACTTTTCATCCATTTTCTTTCAGATTTTGAAGGGATTGATATTGGTGAGTTGGAAGAAAAGGTAATTCATCCACTTTTTCATCATTTCTATTTTCCTTCCTTACTAAACATGATTTTTTATTTATCTTTCCAACTTTTCATCCTTCAAATTTTCTATTCTTCCATTTTTCCATCATACTAAATAGAGTATAAGTGATTATTTAAAAAATTTAGATATAAATTGTTAAAATTTAATTAATTAAGTTATTCGAATCAGATCGACAATTTAGATTGTTAACAAATTCAGATATGAACTCTGAAAATAAAATTTGTCAAATTTAGATTAGTCAAAAATTGATCCAAACTCGATCCGTTGGTGGGCCTACACGAGAGAGAGTTGGGGGGGGGCCTAGTTGGCCGTCCAAAGATCTTTACTTGCATTGCATGTCACATTGGCCACAGAGGAAGAGTTTGAAGTGAATATACTAACCACAATATAGCTGGCACCGGTCATTTAAGCAAGGAAATGGGCAACTAGTTCTATTGGCTTTCCTCGTTCGGTTGCGTTAAAAGCTTACCTTACCAAAAAAACATTAAAAAAAAAAAAAAAACAGACCTATACATATGTTTGGTGTAACATCGTTGTATTAAAAATCACAAACAAATAGCGACTACTTAAAATTTGTTAGGATGTCAAATTACGAACAAAAGAGCCCGTTATGACTCAATGAAATTGTGTAATTCTCTCTAAACAAATATAATCAAATTGAATGACGTGGTCTATTTTACGATAAACACGGTACTGAGTTAACTTTCTGATACCGAAATTTTATACATGTGTAAGAAAAAAAAACAAATAAATCTTTGTAATGTAAAGCATACAAGCACTGATTAGTTGCATATTCTCAGGTTTATTTAATTTGTTTGGCTTTCAAGTCATTATCAAACTATATAAAATTATTAGACTATATAAGCAATATACCACTGAACTTTACTGCTTTTGGTAAAAGTGGCAAAATCAGCTGGCCTAATGTCCTCCAGCCACTTTTTTTTTCTTTTCTTTTCTTTTTTTAAAGTCAGGCACTTTAAATTAAGTATGATTTTGTCTCTGCAAATTTGGCAGTCAAAGACTTTTTGAAATTCATGTAGGATAAAAATAATGCATCCTTGCTTAATATTGCAGAAAACTAGTACTCAAAGAAAGAGAATTTTAGGAAAATAACCCCTCCGATAGCTTGAATGAAAAGATTTTCAATCCGGAAAGGAAGGAGGAGGGACCAGTAGGCTGTAATTTTTTGAGCGTTATTATGATAATCCTCTTACTGTGAAATGTTCAGTTTAAGTCATAATTTTAATCTAGAAAGGGAGTCCGTCACCACCAAAGCACTACCAAAACTAAGTAAAAATCGCGCGCATGAATCGAATATTATTTGATAATTATATAAAAGTCACGGACAAAGATTACTATCTCAAAGTTTTAAATTTACATTGCCATCCCAAATATAATTACAAGCATATATTAGTTCTCCAATGCATTCCTACTTGGAGCAAATTCAAGCTTCCTCCATACATGATCAATCAGTGACTACTGTACTATTCTTTTCCAATTAACTTTGGTGATTGGAAAAGATCAAGTGATTCAATTCAATTACCAGATGAATAATTAGTTAAGTTTTAAACTGGGTTTTGTCTAAGATACAGCATTAATATTTAGAAATTAATATCACAAAAAAAAAAAAAAAAAATCCTTGAAGGAAGAAAATATTCTATTGTGGATTCTCTCTCCTTTATTAACAAATTTATGAATCAAATCCTCTCCCCTATTTCAGTCTGAGAGATCTGAACAAAAAATTACAAATGAAAGAAATAAAATCCTCCCCTTTTTTTTTTATTCCATCTTCCATATGTCAACTGTATAGCCGATGAGGTACAGGCATGATGGTATATCACCCAGATGTATATATACTCACCTTCGGCTTCATCATCATCACCATTTTTTTGAAGTCTGTACACTTGCAGCTGAGACCGAGAGCACAGTTTCGATATTTTCCTTCAAGAATCAAACGAAAATGGAGGTTTTAAGAGATCATAAGGAGCCCATAGAGCATCTAATGGGCATGGTCTGTTTGCATCAAGTCTCGCCCATGGTTTACCTTTACCACTCCAATGCAAAAGACTCACCGGACCCGGATGTAAATCCCGGCAAAGACCTCGGAAATTATCACCACCAAGACCATGTTGATTCCACTTGTGATCCACCGGAGCTATTTTTCCGGCGAAAACTAGCAAAAATGGTGGCAATGAACCCAGTTCATATATTCTCATTCTCTTTTGCAGCTCCATCCATTCTTCGATTTTGGTTGTATAATGACCATCTCTCCATCGATCGAGATCGATAATCATAACACCTGTGTTGAAATAACAGGTTTTACGATTTACGAAGGTTAGTGATAGAGATGGGTTTGACCAGAATGTTGGAGTGAAATACATGGTGAAGTTGGCATTGCAGTACTCGGGTGCAGCTAAAACTTTGTCATCTCCGAGAGGGATTCCGGCGAGTTTGGCAATGTCGTCGACGAGAACAAGGTCGGAGTCGAGGTACACGACTTTGCGAACACAAAGAGGCAAGAGATTGGCTAAGTAGCTTCGAGCATAGTTGAGAGGGCAGTCAAGGGCGGAGCGAATGGAGGTGGAGATTAAGCCAGCCACCGCCGCGTCGTCGAAGCTGTAGACTTCGAACTTGAGGTAAGGGAAAGAGGCGGCGATGGTGGCGCGTAGCTGTGACTCGTTGGCAGAAGCGGAAATGACGAAGTGGAAGACGATGTTTTGAGGGCAAGTGGAGTGTTGTAGGACAGAGAGGATCGCCGCCATGGAGCCGCGGATGTAGGCGGTGTCGAGGGTCATCGCCACATGGATGGCATCATCGGAGCACATGTCGGTGGTGGTGGTGGCGGCTTGTTCGGCGTCACTGTCGTCGGTGTCGGTGATGGAAGGGCATTCTGGGGAATTATAGAATTCTGGGGCTTCTCTAAATTGCTGTGAAATATTAAGATCGCCATTGGAAGTTGCAGTGGTAGCTAGTGTGGTGGTGAGAGAGAGGCATAGGAGGAAGAGACAGAGGAGAGGGGAACACAGTTCTTGTTTTGGCATCGTGGGGAGGATGTTAGATTTGGAGATGGGGGGAAGAGGGGTTGGGTTTTTAAGAGAGAGAGAGAGAGTTTGATTGGGTTTGAAGTTTGGACGCGCTTTTGTAATAAAAAGTGGAAAAAAGAGGGGAGATAAAAGATGGTTTCAAAATTCCATGGAATATGGACGAGTTTTAAACCAGAGTTCGACATTGGGTAATTTTTTAGAGTGAAAAATAGAAATTTAATTTTTATGAATATTTTAATTTTAATGTAAATAACTTATTTTTAATCAAACTAAAAAAATTTAATTGAAATGCGTACAAATTAACCGAGACACCCCTAATCATTAATAAAAAAAATATGTGTAATATGAATTTGATTATAAATGAGTTAAGTATAAAATAAAAACTTGAATCCGATTCAACCATGATACGGATCCAACTCTAATATTCTGTTTGATAGGAAGAAAGAAAAATAAGAGAAATACATTCTCTATCCTCCAAGGAAAAAGGTTAGAATGATACATTTTCATTCTTTTTTATTTAGTAGAATGGATAAAAAATAAAATGATTAATTTTTTTTTGTGCTTAGTAAGATAGAAAAAGTATATTTTATTATTGTATTTATATATGAAATTAATATACACATAATATATGTATTTATCAAAGATATATAGACAAATAAGATAAATTTTAATACAAATAATTAATTTTTCACATATTTTTCTTCTAATTTTAGAGAGATTGATATTGGTGAGTTGGAAATAAAGCTCATCCATTTACTTTTTCATTTTTTCTATTTTATTTTTTTTACCAAACATTATATTTTTATCTATTTCTCTAACTTTTCATTATTTCATTATATCAAACGGAACATAAAAATAAAAATTTCATTTATAGTTAGTTTAGAAACATAAATGTTCTAGAAATAAAATGAAAACAAAAAAAAATTAGAAAATTTAATTTCAAAACATCCCAAAACAAACCAATAAATTTTGATACATAATATATCAATTTTTATCAATAATTCATCTTAATTTCTTTATAAACATAAATATTTCAGCCGATTCCATAGAAATTTGATCCTTATCAAACACCACCACCTATTACCGACCGGGCTGCTAACCCGGTGGTGGCCGAGTCAAGGATTTTCACAGGAAAGTTTGATGGATTCAGTCTCAAGTTTTGGACTTGGCCTCTTGTTTTCTAGCTTTTTGGAATCGGTTACGTATTAGCCTATGGGCTATAGACTATGCTTTCTCTCCCCTGCTTTTGGGGTTAAAGTTGAAGTATGAAGAGAACATTTGGAACTCAACTGGGTGCATGGTGGGTGACCGATGGTCACAGGTCTGAACTTCGTCCATCTTTTTGCAATAATGTCCGATGAATAGATAAAAAAGAAAAGCAATGAAAAAGTGATTGCATTCTAGCCAAAATCCGAGAGTGTATGGTGTGATTAGAAAAGGAGAATGAAGTTAAAGCTGGCTTGTACATGTTTAGCTTTTGGGGAGAGGGGGGGACCAAAATGTTATTGCTTTACATTCTGTCTATTTCATTTCATTGCAACGTTGGAGCCAAATGATTCAATGTCAATTGTCACTACTGGAAATAAATACCCACTTTTTTTTTTTTTTTATGGGTCCAAATTGTGTAAATAGATTCTCAAAAAACACCTTTATTCACTAATATAAATTTACAACATCTTAACCCGTCACGATATTTCGGATGAAAAATATTTCAATTGTTAATATCTCAAGTTTCCAATTAAGTTGGTGCTTATTTTGCAGATTATTAAGTTCATCCCCAGCTTATGTAACAATCACGGGTTTAAAGAGTGTAGTTAGGATGGTTTTCGATTATTAAAAAAACTTAATCATGCATAATATATATTGAAAAACAGCTTTTGGAATGCTTATTTGAAATTTTTTGGATTAAGGTTCGAATATTACAAAGAAAAAATATTCCGAATGGAACTAGATGATGATTTTTTTTTTAGAGGGAATCCTATAAAGATTGGAAGTGAAAGCCTTAAGGGCATGTTTGGATGATCCATTCGGGCGGATTGGATTGATCTTAGGAAACTCCTTCAAATTTAACCCAAAAGAAATTTACATGGGATTCAACTATAAACTGAATTCAATCTCATATTTGGTATGTAACATAAATATATAAGGAGTCCATGAATTCATGTCAAATCGTATTACTCAATTTACTAAAATATCTATTGTTAGATGAATAAAAGAATAAATTTTTGAATAAAATAGTCGTTTTTGTTTTTAAACTCAATCTTTCATTTTTGAAACCTCCTCCTCCCTGCGGGTTTCATCAAACCTCCATACTTAACTTCTAATGTCACTTTTAATGTACTATTTGTTGCGGGCCGAGATATGAATCCCGATTTTAAAAGTCCTAACCAAACATAAAATTAAGTGGTTTATCAAACTATTTTTCTTAAACCACCTTCTAAACCCGGTAAACAAACAGACCTTAAATATATGAGATTTCTCACAGCTGGTTAAAATTGTGTAGCTTCAAGGTAATGACAGCAAGCAGCTGCCATTGATAGATAAAGTGGGAGGTGTACAGAAAAGTTTCAAACTTGGACAGTCAACATAGAATTGATTTGGAATGAATGTTAAAGCACACGTTTAAGGGTTGGTGAGGTCCTCCCCCAAAGGGTTTGCAAGCAATTCACTCAAAATCTTGTGGTGGTGGTTGATGCTTCATCATCAAAAACAATATCTCTCTCCTTTTCATATATAAAAGCTCAAGTATCATAGTCGGTGAAAATTATACTTGAGCAAACTGACTTTGTCTTTTGGGTTCCACCCATTGTTTAAGGGGCAAGTCTAGGAAAATTAAACTTTGAAAAAAGAGTCATGAGTCCCAAGAAAAAGGAAAAAATAATTTCGTATTCGTTATTTTTCACGATAAATAGAGATATATATTAAATATCAACATTACAATCAATCTACACCTTACAGACAGATAAGGGAGTACCCAAAAAGAATCAAGAAATTAAAAGGGACCAGAGAACACTTTACATGTGGCAAATTTCAACCCAATGGTCTCTTAATTTTGGAGTAGTGTGGTGGTGACTGGTGACCACCAAGTTAAAATATAAGTATAGTTGAGAGAAAATGGCATAGTTAAGTTGGTCACTCCCGATTCTCTCAATATTCTATCGATCAAGAAATTAAGAGATCAATCATTCGGAAAGGCAATACTCAATTTTTTACTATTCCTTTTTTGAGGATTTTATTGTGCTTTCTTTCGAGTTTCTCTTCAGTCTTGTGTGAGCATATTTTTTTTTTTGTTCAATAGTTAAGGACGTTCGATTCAGCTTATATAGACCTTGACTAATCCGCTATCCGTTTAAGTCAAAGACAGACTATCTACACTAGAACTAGAGTATTCATGAAAGATCCCTCATAACCTGACTCCAAAAAATTGCCAAGATTTGAATTCAAAACGTTTAAGTTTGAAATTCACCAATTTTACCACTTAAACGATCCATTGAAATTGTGATGGTATTTTTTACTCTTCTATATATTTGTTATTCAAATGTTGTTATAGTTAATTTTTTATTGTAATAGTGATTTACTAACAATATATATATAAAACAGAGAAAGAATTTTTTGAAAGCAGACAGTATTCAAAAGTTGTATAATCTAATGCTTGGTATGATGTCACACTCTTCCTTCACACCAGTTGAAGGCCCCCCAAAAATGCATAGACCACTACTATTAAAAATTACTATTGTGACTCACATTAAAGTTGTAAGCATAGAAAAAAAATATAGTTAGGATGGTGTGTTTCATCTAACTCAAAGTTGGTATTGACTACAATTAATATTATTCTCTCTACCAGAACACAACTATGATATGACCAACCACGATATCGACCATAATAAGGTGGAGTTTCAATTTTTCCTTTGACAAAAACGGATTGTAAAAGAGATATTTTGTAAGATGGGGAATAACTCTGCGCTCTCATATTCTCATATGTAGGTGTTAACCGAGACAAATTTATTGAAGAGTATGTTCAAACTCAACTCGATTGTAACCGGACAAGCTTGAGCAAAAATCGAGCTATTCTTGTTAATAATCAATTTCTCCACAAAAATCACTCAAAAATTTGCATAAGTACAATTAAAAATCACACCTTAGAAGTTTATATTCCTCAAAATCAATTTTAAAAAAAGTTGGAGAGATAAGTGCCTATGATTTGGACGTATTTAAGGGTAGTTTGGTGTTGTTTTTTTTTTTTTTGGTCAATAGTTTGGTGTAGTTCAACTTTCAAACATATGTTGTTTAGTTGTAAATTTATACCTAACCTATTGAGTCAAATCCTATGTTACTTAATTTACAAAACAAACTTAAAAATTAAATTACATTCAATCCATTTAATACTTAAAGAATCAAAAAGTTCCAAAAAAAATTCGAGTTTAAGTTTTTGAGATTGTTTTATAGCCACATTATCATCATTTGTGTCACGCTCAGGACAATTGAAATCAAAAGTATGGGACAAGTGAGACTAAGAACTCTCTCCATTGGGTCAATGTTATTTTCATCGACCCAATGACACTTTTTACGTGTAAAAGTTTTGATTTTTTGAGATTAAGAGTTTAATGTTTCGTTTAATTGAAAAGATAAATAGAGAAGGGATACACTTTCTATTCTTCAAGGAAGAAAAGTAGAAATGTTACATTTTCCTTTCTTTGTGTTTGGTTGATTGATGGAAAATAAAAAAAATTAATTTTTTTTTTGTTGGCTAAGATTAGGGATAACAATCGAGTCGTATCGTGTCAGATTCGTGTTGAGTTATTAAAGATTTGTATCGAACATTAGTCATACTTAACTCAACTCATTTAACTAATTGTGTCGTGTCGTATCGAGTTACGAGTTAACATGTATATTTTCATGTCGTATTCGTGTTCGAGTTAATCAAGTTTGTGTCATAAAATCCGTGTCGAGTTCGGGTCGTGTTATCGTGTTAGTTAAAATTTTTCATCCCTAATTAAAATGGAAAAA